TTCTCTGAAATGCTACACGGTTCCAGCTTAGCCGGTTTCCATTATTAAGCTATTCACAGTTTTGGATTTCAGCATCTCTCGCTTTTTTCTGAAATTCTAGAAAAAAAATACCAATACGCATGCTCTGACGGATTTTTTCCATACTCCTCTCAGTTGTGTGTGTGAAACAAACAAACATACAAAAACAACAATTAGCAAGGGAGGCACTGGGGCCTGCAGCTCACTGGGTGCTCCCAGAGTCTCCTTTAGACAAGGCCGAAGAGAGGAGTGGTTACAGAAAGAGCAGGGCCCGACTTGCCTCAGTGCCATTGCTTTGAGGTAGATCGAGGGCCCCCCACACTTGCAAAATTCAGCTTAAGGACAGAGCTTAGCCAGGGATAATTTGCTAGGAAAACAAGGCTTTTGGCATCTAAACCTCCAGTGCATCACACACTTCCTGCTATTATCTAATAACCCCCCCACAAACTCAGCCATCACTGTTTCCATGGTAACAGACAGAGAAATAGCAGCCTGCCAAATGGCTTTTGTAGTTCCTTTTCCAGCTTGTTCTTTGGTATAGAATTAAAGCTAGCTGGGAAAAGACCCAGACTAATCTTTGCAAACAGGGACATGATGTAGTTGGAAAAGTATAACTGGGTTTGGGACAAAGCTTTAATGAACACAGCTCAGTAGAATAAAAAAAGGTCTACTAAAATACATATCTGGTAAACTTCACCTTGGTACTGAGAGAGAATAGCTTGACGATGGCCAGAACACAGTTACCATGCTTTATTCGCAGCCTCGATTTGAACTAAACAAAGAAGGGGTGAGGGGACAGAAGAGGGAAAGCCGAGTCTCCCCTACCCCCAAGTACCTTGCTATCACTAAAGGGTATGGCGCTTCGCTCTAAGATAAAATTGAATGAGCAGGACTTGACAGGCTTGGACTAGAGGACAGTGAAAACGGGATCAACACCCCGGAGGAGTGAAATGTTTAGTCCCAGGGATGATGTATGCTTGAGGCTGACGGAGCCAACTGCATGAGTCAGAGGGGCACTGGCGCTTAGGAAACAAAGATCTTCTTACCATCTCTGCACAGGGAGAAATTGTCAGGACTACAGTGTGGGGAACTAGGGCGGCTTTCAGAAGATGGGCAGCTACGGAGATCTGCTCGAGGTGCCAGACCGCAAAACCAACAGCTGCTGCAGGGGTGGAGGAGTTTGAATTAAAAAAAAAAAAAAAAATCAAGACTGTCTCTCTTTGAAAGTAGCCCAGAACAAGTGCTGTTCTGTCTCAAAACTGCATACTTGAATGAAGTGCAGGAAATCTATGACTCTTTTGTGTCAGCTTCTCATCTGATAGGACAACGCTAATAGGGGTTTGAAAGATCCGCTCCCACTTTGAACATGCTCCATACCCCAAATGTCTTGTTGACAGAGAGGAAAATTACAATCCGCAGCACCAAGCCGACAAGTCTCTAAGAGTCACAGAAAGTCAGACTCCAGCAGATCCCACACAGGAGACTAACCTAATTTATACTTTTCAATTTATGCTTTTATCGTGGTTGTATGAATCACTGAGTCATGTTCTCAGAGCTATCACCTGAATCAAAGCAGAAAAGTAGACAAAGATTTGCAATAACCACTTCCTTTCAATCCTTCAGGGGAAAAGAGCACACATAATAAGACAGAAATGATGTATTCAAACACATGTTTCCAAAGCAAAGAAAGTCTGTACTTGTAGTTCAGCGACACTTGTGTAGCCCTGAAGTTTTGGAACCTGTTAATGAAACTTAAAGGAGTCTTCTCAAAAGTTCAAAATTTTGTTCTATTTCCCCAAGAATGGAACTTGTAGGTTCTGGAGAGAAGAGGGCCATTTGAAAGCTGTGTTTACTACTGTGTGATTACAATTCTACTACTACATATTGCTGTTCAATTTCCCCATCTTAAACAAAAGCCAGAATTGAGAGGAGGTACAAAAATTGGATCAAACTGACCAAATTCAATCACGGTTAAGAGGAGCCTGGACAGCCAAACTTCCTGGGGACAGTAACCTGGGGTACGGACATGGCCATATTCCTTCCCAAATCTGTTTCCTTGACTCAAACAAACACCCACTTCTCAATAGGCCTATATTTCCAGCATATCAGCTGCTTTGGTCAGAATGCAGATTCCCTCGCCACTGGAAATGAACCCTGCTTTCGTGTCTCATGGCCTGTGCTTTCACTCATGTTCATCAAAACAGACTCCAGGAAAAAGGAAAAGAAAGCCTACTGAGTACAGGTAGTCTCCCTCTTTTTCAAAAAAAGTATTTAATTTATTATTATTATTATTATTATTACGTTTTCTTTAGGGCACGTGTGCTCACCAGAGAGAGGCAGAGAGGGAAATTGAGAAAGCAAGCCATCAGGTCCAGGACTGGAACCACGGTCGGGCCTGTGGGAGTCCAGTGCCCTAACCACCACGTCACCTGCTGTCCCCAGCAGTCTCCCTCTTAAGCACAGATTTTGTTTCAAACGATCGCCCACAGAAGCAAGGCTGTGTGTGGGAGTTTCATCTCCATGCACAGACCAGCCCTAACCTCTGACATAACTGAAGGGTATCACTGAAAAAGAGCTCTTGATCACCTCATGTGACATTTTATAAAGAGCATGCGCCTTCGACTGAGATGGCAGAAGGAATGAGGTCTTTCTGTTAATGTCTCATAGTTGGAAACCGTGAGGGGGCTTCAAAAAGTTTGTGAAAAACGTGTCTACTGAAAACATTGTACGCGGATCTCAAGTACTTCATGCCATTTTCCACAAACTTTTTGAAGCCCCTTCCTTTTTGTACAATAAAATTAATTATCCAGAAAGCAGACTTTGGGAATTCTTAAGCTTCCGATCTATGAATAAGCCAACAATTTTTAAAGGGGGTGGTGGTGAGTATGTGTGCAAAGACATAGTAATATTGGGGCCAGTGGGTGACAAAGCGGTTAAGAACCCTTACACGGCTGACCATGGTTTGAGTCCTGGACTCGGAGGCTTGAAACTCATGCTGGGTGTGTATGCATGTATGCCCAACATTCCAGGAGGAGAATGGAAGAAAAGGGATTGCAGTGTGGCCATCCTGGAGGGTACCTCCAGGACGAAGGCACAGCGTGAGCATGCACTAGAGGAGGTCCAGGAGGAGCAAGGTGAGGATGTCTTACCCAGTCGCGGCCACCACCCAGATCCCACGATCACTTGGGGAGTGACTTCTTGCTTTGTGATTTTGAGTAAAAAAGAAAATAACTTCAGTGACCAGCGGGTGGCATAGTGGTTAAGATGCTGCACTCCCACATGGCCGACTGCAGTTGAGTCCCAGACCCGGTGGCTTGAAAATCATACTGGGTGCATGTGCACACCTGCCCAAAATCCCAGGAGGAGAAGGGATTGCAGTGTGGCCAGTCCTGCTTGGGGATGATTTCTCACTTTCCTTCTCACTGTCTCTCTCTTTTTCTCTCTCTCTCTCTGGCAAGCACACACTCCCTATGGCAAAAACCTTAAAAAGAAAAACAAATTTTTTTTGAAGAACTAAAGAACAGAATTACATCAAAGATCCTGTGCACTTGATCAGAAGGGCAGGAGGGTACCTCCAGGAGGAAGGCACAGAGCAAGTGTGGGCCAGAGGAACTCCAGGAGGAGCAGGGTGAGGCCGCCTTACCCAGTTGCCGCCACCACCCAGCTCCCATGACCACGTCGGCAGAAAGGCGATGCTCCACGTGTCTGGCCTGAGAAGAGGGTCTGAACTTAAATAACGACAGCGTTTCTCTGCTTTGTGCAAGACTCTTACTAGGGAAGGATGAAGTCTTCGGGTGTGTGTACTTGGGACTGAGCTGGGTTCCCACGTGTGGGCAGCAGCACGCTCACACCTAGGAGACCAGAGCAGACTGGGCAGACACCTCTCGGGTAGTGCTCCTTCCTCATCAGAAGGAAGTCACAGTGCTCCGGGAACACGCTCGCTCAGCAGGACACTGGCAACTGACAGTCCCCAGCTAGCGAGGACCAAAGCTCCTCTGTGAACAAGGCAAAGGAAACCTAATCAGTGGAAATTATACCAACAAAAGGCGCCTAATAGCATATGACAAAACAAAATGTGCTTCAAAACACCACGCCTGGAAACCTAAATACGCATCAGGAAAAAGCCCTGTCCGTTACTGGTGTCCTGAGAGAAGCATATCTGATGGAGGACAGGCCTGGGCTCCCACGGACTGATGATGATGTGGCCTCGATTAGGTCAGATTCAAAACACAGCCTCTGGCCTGCCACGCTGACGGGGTCTGATTTACTGGTGTAAGCTGATGATCAGGAACCTCGGTTAGGAAAAGACAACGCTTGGAGAGAAGATAATGTGGTAGGATTTGCTCTTCTCCTACACTTCCTACTGTAGCTATCTTAATCCTAATTATTCCTATACTTTTGCTTTAAAACAATTAATAACCCTAGTATCCCTCAAATGCCAAGTAATCTAGACCAGAGATGGAAACTGAAGATGTTAAACAGTTTAGTCACTGCTTTTCACCCAGAACTGTATTTCAGGGCCGGGCTGCTCTGTGACCCTCCCTTGCAGGAGATGGCCGTGTTACCCTGAAGAACACTTCAAGGCTCCTTGGGGGCATGTTCTTGAGCCTCCCTCCTTCCCCTCCTTGCTCCCACTAGCTTGAGTCATCCCTTTATAGGCCCTCCCTCCTCTTCACTCATCACGATTGCAAGTATCTGAGTAACTAGCACTGTCTGCCTACCCCACAGACAGGGATGTGCCAGTCCTGCAGCAGAAACAAGCCCTCGGCACCGGCCCAGGGCAGCGGATTCCTGCAGGGTAAGTGAATGGATGGATGGAAGGGCACTTTGAAATGTAAAGGTTCACCACAGCTAAGCAATCAGTTGAAAAAGTTTCATCAGCAAAACTCAGACTCCTGTCCTCTGAATCTGAGAAGACGCTAGTGTTTTTTTCAGAAAAGTAGAGGCAGAAAAAGCATTAAAAAAGAAAAGAAAAAACTCACTGGTGGGGGTTTCTTCCTCATCTCGAACGTGCGTGTGGCCCCGAAACTGAGTGAGGCAATGATGGGGCACTTCCCTAAGGCAGGCTCGTCGTCACTGTGCCAGTCCACACTGTCTTTCTCGTTCCGGTACAGATTGCAGAGTAAGGAGTTGAAGGTGTGGCCGGTGTTCTCTTCGATCCGGTTCTTCAGTGTGCTCAGCACGGGATGCCACTGCAATAAACAGGCAGAGTCACGTAAGACATAAGGTGGCAGCCGCACGGAAAAACAGGGCGAAACCAGCCAACTTATAAACAGGGGCATGGAAAGGCAAACTACTTGGAACGCAGTAAACAGAAGCAAGAAGGGTGGTTCCAACCCCCATCATTTCTACCCCGAAGTAAGTTAAAATCTGCAATTCCAAAGATAAAGCACTCACTTTGGTAAAGCCATGCTGTGAGGACCAGGACCTAGCCACCCACCCTCTCCTCTCCACGTCCAACCGCAGCCCTCACACAGAAGCACGTTAGTACTCAGGGCAGTCGCCTTGAGGCACCACGGTGGCCAGTGGGGAGGAAAGCCAGATGCTGCCAGCTCGTTGGCAGACACAGACTCAAGTCCGAAGGATGACAGACTTCCCTGCTGGGTGGTCCTCTCTGTTCTAGTCCCATTTTACCGTGAAGAGCAGAAATGCCAAAGGACAGCTAGAATTTCCAGAGTATTTCCTAGTACTTTACAAAGTTCGGCTAACTTCCTGAAGTAGAAGCTGAGGGA